AACCATAACATCTAATATAAACACAAATGTCAACCAAGTCACAAATACATCATGTATGCCAATAAAGTGCAATGCCATGCTCATGTCGTTCCTCGTTTCCGAAACATTTCCGTTTCAACTTTCAAACCGTTAGTGTAATCCGACCCAAGGCACCTCTAAGGCATCATAAAGGAGGGGTTGGCTAGTCTTCCCCGACCATATGGCACCTCCATAGCGTCGACTGGGTAGCTCAACCACACTAGAGTCTCTCTCTAAACCCCTCTAGATCACACTAACACCACGGACCACTAGGCGCCTCCTAGGCGTCCGGGTTGTCGCTACACTTTTCAAAATCATTTTCCCAAAATCATTATATTTGCTTTCAAAGCATTTTTCCTATTTTTCCTTTCCCAATGGATGCATGAATGCTTCATACTCCTAATCATGAATTCAACCGCAGAATTTCACATATGCTTTACAAATTAAATCTCTAAAATAGGTAATTCATGCTTCCCTTCAACATTGTTTTAGCATATCAAGCATACAAAGCATAATCTATTTCACATAAGCATGCTATTACACAATTACATACAATTCATCTATATCTCATTTACATACTTTTGGGAAAATTAAATTAACAAACTCTTATTTAACAATTTGGGCAACATAGTACTAGACGTTCAAGTATTCAAGTGCATATAATCAAAATCAATAACCAATACAAGTAATTTCTATCATTTTCAACACAACAAACACCTTGTCATGCTCATTATACATAAAATGTCCATAACCACAAACAATACTCATAATTTAATAAACAACTTAACAACTTTTATAAGAAAACTCATAAAAGTCAAAGAAAAGTGTGGATTAGAAACCCTTACCTCAAGAATTGCCGAATCCAAACCCTAGAATTCGAAATTCTTAGGTTGCACCAAAACCACCTTTGCTCCGATCAAATCGAAGATCTCGCTGTGATCTCTAATTTGCCGCAAACGGCACGTAAAAACTCTAAAAATTGAGGGAGAAATCTATGATTAAAATTTTGTAAAAAGAAAAAGAAAAAAAATGGAGAATGAGAGGGGTAAGAGTGAGCTAAGAGAGAGAGAGGAAGAATGAGACCAAATAGGTCTCTAACCTACACATATATGCTAGTGGTGGGTCCCACCACCTTTTTAAATAAAATTTTCCTTTTTCTTTTTCTACACCACAATTAAAAAATAAAAAAAATAAAAAAAATAAAAAATAAAATAAAATAAAATAAAATTACAAACATTACAACTAGGTTATTCTGACTCCAAGTCCTTTGAAAAATCAAAGTCAAGCAAAAGAAGATAAATTAAAACTAAAAGATTTCTTACATGTCTTTGTTTTCAGCTGTACCATTCTGTTTTTTTTTACCAAGAGAGTTTCACAATTTTCAAGAAAATCAAAGTCATGCAAACAAAAAAAGGAAGACTTAAAAGTTAGTCAACATTAATAAGTATGAGTATTTTTTTCTATTTTATTGTGCGGATACATAATCAATGGTTATAATTTAAAGTCCTCTCAAAGTAGAAGGCATTTCTTTCGTGCAGAATGGGAGACGACTTAATTAAAAGTCGGCCTAGCAGGTGGAGGAAGGAGAAGGGAAAGAACTGAAATGGATTCATCCATTGACAGCAACCAACCACATATTAGTCAAGTCAATTATAATTAATACTCTATTATGTTATGTTTGATAGGTGTCTTAAATTTGAAATTGAAGAAGATTAAGATTAAAATTTAGGACGTTATTTATGTACTAAGTGTTGTGAAAATTCCATATAATTTATAAATAATATAAATAACAATACATCAACTTTATTCATAAAGTAATGAATTAAAATAAGGAACAATAACATTAATAGAAAATTGAAATAACATGCTTTTATTAAACTGAATAGTACATTATATGAACAACATGGATATAAAGATGAATAAGGATTTAATAATATAATAATTCTGCAATAGAAAATTAATATAATAATAGAAATTATGAAATGAAAACAATATTAAAATAGGTAAGAAAGAGTTGGCCTGATTGTTGAGGCATGTGTAAATATATTGACCTAAAGTTGATAGTCCTCCCCTTCATGCAGGTATTGGTGAAACTAGTCAACTTCATGATACAACCCAATCAGCTCACAGTGGCGTTTTATCCATGTGCACGACCACAGAAAGACTAGGTCCAAGTCTATATATGTCTAGTTGCTCGTAAACTAATATGTAAAAATTACTCTCAAGTAAATAGGCTCACGGCCTTATACACGAAAGTCTAACTTGTTCTGATAAATTATCATCCGTCTCAGCTCCCCTATGATATTTAAGTATATATAGAGAGAATAAAGATGTAGCGCTTAAGGTAACATAATAATGGTAGACATAATGATTGAAATAATATACCAATATATATTATTTAAATCATATAATAAATATAAATATCATGTAACTCATATAATAATAATTATTATTATAAATATAATAAATTATATTAATTACTATTTATATTTTTATTAAAATATCCATAACACTAAGTTTATTTGATCTTATTCGAATAGGATGTGATTTATTTTATTTTTTTGATCTTTCAAATAAAGAGGACGTGTTTCTTTTCATTAGATCATATATTATAGATCCTCACTAAGAAAGACTTAAAGTACCGTCTTTTTATATTTGAGAGTACCAAATTAACATTTCATTTTTTCAAATTCAAATTCAAGGCCCTAATTTAATACTCCCAAGTATTATAGGACCGACGCAGAACAATTTACTGTTACAATTGAATGCATCACAATTCCACAACCGTAAATTTTTCTTATAATTTTTTCTCCCCCTTTTTCGTAATCTTTATTTCAGGCTCTTAAAATCCTAATAAACAAAAGTTGAACTCCTAGGTCCTAACTTTGATAGACATCGTTCCTCCCGCCATTTCAAGCAACATTCCAAAAGTAAAAAAATTTGACTGAAACCATGTCTCTCCGTACTTTATTGCTTAGAAATCAATATTTTTTTTATAGGTAAAATATATATATTTTTATTTTTCAGTATTTGACAAAAATCTAGGTTGAAGTTGAAGTTGAAGTTGAAGTTGAAGTCAAGTTCATCGAGTAGGGCATATAAAATAGTTTGTCAAAAATTAATGAATAAATTATTTATGTTAAATTTAATTTTTTTTTTTTCGTAAATATTTTACGACAACCAAATACTAAAAAAACAAAAATATATTTTGAAAATCATTTGACGCTCAAACAAATGGAGCCTTAATCAAATATCTTTTTGATTTAATTTTGTTTCTACATTACAAAGTTTAATATTGTTTATACATACATATATTAAAAGCAAAGTTCTATCTTATAGACAAATAGTTAAATAGTTAAATAGTTAAGAAACATGTTCATGAAATAAACATTAAATAACTTACCTCTTAATCATAACCTGATTGTTGATGATTTTTGCTCATAAAAATGAAGCAAGTCAAGAGTACTTCTGTATTTAGAATTATACCTAAGCTCCACTTTTAATTTTCTGTGCTCAGGTTCATCAATCAAATAGTATTAGAGCTCGAGATCAAGTTTGAAATTGAGGCCGAATATAATTATCTGATCACAGTCCTAGTTGTGAGACCACGGCCCAAACCCGATAACACCATGTGCCCAATTAATTTGCTTATTTGAGTACAGGCCCAAGGATTTTGCTTTCCTGCCCATTCCCTTGATGGATACCACCAGCCCAAGGATATGCTGAATTCCGGCTCAATGTTTGTCCGGTTTGCCCTAATTCTCCCTCGACTTATTATTATTATTATTATTTTTTAATTTTCTTAGTTCCTAGATTTTCATAAATTGTAATAATGGCGTGCTTCAATTATAATGTAAATTAGTCCTGTTCAGTAATCGTTTTTGCTTATTGTTTAGTATTTAAACTTAAACATAATGAATGATTATTTTTTAGCTTTTATTTATCGATATACACATTTTTACATAATAAACAGAAAAACATGTGTTTTTAACCTTAAACTGTTTTTAAAAAATTCAGCATCAATTTTAAACAAATAATAAAAGTATCTTTGAAGTATCGAATGATCCTCTAACTAGGTTGCTCACAACCTTAGCAAATGTGTGCTCATCAAGAAATTATTGATCATTAGTGGAATGTGGCCCTCTTGATTATCTAAAGGCACATACAGAATGATGTTTGTTTTGCTTCTGAACTCTTTGTTTTTTTTATGAAATAATAATAATAATAATAATTTTATAAAATTGGCCTGTGCAAATAGTAATTATATAAGTGAATTTATATATAAACAAAAATAATATTAACAAGCATGTTTTTTTTCTTTTTTCAAAATCTATTTATATAAATAATAAATTATAAACATAAATATATACCAAACCGGGTTAGTTTATTTCTCAAGTTCTTTTTTTTTTTTTTTTTTTTTTAATTTTTTTTGTTTGAGGCCAAAAAATGAACCTCAAGTCATAGCAATTATTTTTGTTCAATTATTGGACAGTTGGGCATGTCCAAGCGCACAGACACGTGTATTAAACCAATTAATTCTAATCATGCCAGTGTACTGCCTGTAATCTTTAATCCACATATTGCTAATTATTTATAAGTCTTTACGTTGTTAATGGCGCACATATAGATATACATACACACACGTGTACGCTCGCACACTTGGACAAGCCCAGTGGCTCAAGAATTGAACAAAGAGTATAATTGAGTAGTTAAAACTTTTGCATAGTATCTTACACTTGAACTGAAATCTAAGAATCTCTTTCTTGTTGCTCTCGCTCGAAGTTAAAATTCCATCAATATTTAGATCTTCCATTTCAATATTTAGATCCTAAAGTTAAAACCGCCCTCTCTCTCATGTCATAATCATTAACACTATGACCCCCAAACAATTTTTTTTTCAACAATTGGTAGCTAAAAATGTGTTGACAATGTCTTGACATTTACCTAACAAAACGATTGGTTTCATATTTGGAGAGATTAGCTGCTTGAGTACACTCCGAAATGGCCATGTTTCCCTTGCACTACTTCTTGTTTCTGATGTTGCTTGTGCGGCTAGAAGGCCAAGATGAATGTAAGATTTCCAGGTGCAAGAAGCATGGCCCGGCCATCCGTTTCCCCTTCCGGCTTAAACACCACAACAAGCCGGGACACTGTGGCTATCCCGGGTTTGAGCTGATGTGCAACGAGAGAAATCAAACCGTGCTCCGGTTACCAAATTCGGTAAACCTGCTAGTCAAGAAGATTGATTACAAGTCTCAAACGATTCACCTGTATGACGGGGAAGGCTGCCTTCCAAGACAGCTTATAAACCTCAATTTATCTGCCTCCACATTTGACTTGGATATAGGGGATCTTTATGTGTTTGCTCTGTACAATTGTTCAGCTCCACATAGACGTTTCTTTGACCTGCTCTTCATCCCTTGCCTTAGTACTGTTCCCGGATACCAAATTTATGCTGTGGGTACCGTCTCAGCTAGTTACCTGGCTTCTTGCACAAAGATTGGTAACATAACACTTTCTATTGATGTATTTTACACCAGTCATGATCTTCTTAACCTTCTGTTGCACTGGTCGAAACCAAATTGCTTGACATGCGAAGTAGAAGGCAAAACGTGTGGGTTAAAGAATGATACCACTGGACGTGAAGTTGAATGTTTCGACATACCTAAAATAACAAAAGGTACTATGTCCATCTCATGATATTTGTATAACATATGCTAGGTATACATGCTTTCTATAACATAATGCCATTAGACCAACTGACTCATCGTCGACTTCAAACTGCCTATCGTCTTTGGTGGTCTAAATTTGTTTCTCTTTTTTCTTTAGTATGGCAATCTAATAATTTGGTCCTATTTTACAGGTTTACCAAAAAAACTAGTTGTAACGTTAACAGGTAAAGTTTGTCTGTTGATCACTTTTCCTTTATTATCTATCTGTGACTAGAATTTATTTATTTATTTTATTTTGTTGTTGTTGTTGTTGTTGTTGTGGTTGACTTGATTTGTTTTTATGCAGCTATTGTGATCCCAGTTCTCTTAATTTTGGTAGTTGTTGTGCTCTATCACGTCTATAGCTCAAACAGAATGTTGAAAGAGGATCAAGTGAAGATTGAAAACTTTTTGGAGGACTACAGAGCACTGAAGCCCTCAAGATACTCTTATGCTGATATACAAAAGATCACACATCACTTCAAGTACAAACTGGGGGAAGGGGGTTATGGGACCGTGTTCAAAGGAAAGCTTTCGAATGAGATTTTTGTAGCTGTTAAGGTCCTCAACCATTCAAAAGAAGATGGAGAAGAGTTCATCAATGAAGTCGGAACAATTGGCAGAATCCACCACGTGAATGTGGTTCGCTTGGTCGGCTTCTGTGCTGATGGACCTAGACGAGCTCTTGTTTATGAGTTTTTGGCAAATGATTCTTTAGAAAAGTTCATCTTTTCAGAAGATCACGAGAACCATTTCCTCGGTTGGGAGAAGCTGCAAGATATTGCTGTGGGCATAGCCAAAGGAATTGAATATCTTCATCAAGGGTGTGATCAAAGAATCCTTCATTTTGATATTAAACCTCATAATATATTGTTGGACCACAATTTCAATCCAAAGGTCTCTGACTTTGGCCTAGCAAAGTTGTGTTCCAAGGAACAAAGTGCAGTCTCTATGACTGCAGCAAGAGGGACTATGGGTTATATTGCCCCTGAAGTCTTTTCTAGGAATTTTGGGAATGTGTCATATAAATCAGATGTCTATAGCTTTGGAATGTTGTTGCTTGAAATGGTCGGTGGGAGGAAAAATAATGATGTTGAAGTAGAGAACACTAGCCAAACATACTTCCCAGAATGGATTTATAACCGTTTACATCAAAGAGAAGAGATCAGTATGATCAGCATTGAGAAAGAGGAGCATGCTAAGATAGCAGAGAAACTAGCTATTGTTGGGCTCTGGTGCATTCAGTAGTACCCTGTGGATCGGCCTTCCATGAAATTTGTGGTTCAAATGCTTGAAAAAGAAGGGAACAACCTAACCATGCCACCAAATCCTTTTGCTTCTGCAACAGAGACGAACACGAGTTCAATCAGAGCCTTCAATAGAGAGTTGGCAGTTATTTCAGAATGTAATTTAGAGCACAATTGATAATGTCTAATGCTAGTTAGGCAACGTGTTTTTCTCATCAATGTACTGTAATCTTACAACAATCTAAGGGATCTTGAATGAGATTTTTTATTGTTTTTCTAGCTTGTATAAGTTTCCATTGCTTTCAATATGTAATATTGTAAAGCTATTAGAAGAAAAATCTTAATTATGGTGTCAAATTACAACTTTAATGGTGAGAGTATGATCTTACAACTATTTCATAGAATTTTTCTGTTAATCTTAATAGGTATGCATTAGTCATATAATACACAGGATTGCGAAGAAACAAATGGTTCAAACATCTCGAGTTTCATGTTATTAAGGCTCAGTTCATATTCATTTTCCAAGTTAAAATTCAAGCTTGAACAACAATTTCAAGCTCATAATTTGATGAATCAAACCTTGACAATTCATAACTCGGTTGGTCAGACTTGCAGAAATGATCATGAAAAAACTAGTCAAGACTTTCAAACTTGTCTCATTTATTTAGCCTCATTTGATTTATGATCAATTCTTCTATTCGTCAGTTTTTTTATCTCACACTGAAGTTGAGCTCGAGTTTGATATGAAATTGGCATGCTCGTTGGAAAGGTTCGTTTGTAACAGATCTTGGAAGAAAAGCAAGAGAACGCATAATTGACTGATGTCCGGCCATGAATTTGCTTTCTTAATAGTTTAGATATCTCCACCAGACCTCATTAAGTACATTGCCAAGAGTATACCTGTCCTTTTTGCAGGAAGTTCGATAAAACTTGAAGAATTAATACGAAAATCACGCGTCTGTGGGGTAAATTTTTCTCAGTTTCGATTTACTTCATGAATTAATACATACGTAATAAGAAGCATGAAAGAAAGGTAACTGATATATAAGTAAATTATTACAAGGACATGCTGGTGGTCCTTTTTTTTTTGGATTTGATATGTAACTAAACTAAATTAAAACTAAAAATAATAATTCAGAAGAACACGAAAGTGATTCATTATAGTTGTAAAGAGGTGCATAGATCTTTCATACACATCTTCCAGTCTACAGAAATCAGAACTACATGAACAGAGTTGGCAACTTGATAAATTTACACACTACTACCTTATCATCTCTTCAATGGTTATGCTCATCTCAGCATGGGAAATAGTTGTTGCCACTACCGGGTTGTTGTTTGCTTGATCCTCCATTGACGTCTCACTGGGATAAAGGAAAGGCTTGGGAGGCATTTGCGGCAGCTCCTCCCCTTCTAGCATCTGCAGGACTTCGCTCATGGAGGGACGATCCACGGGCTTCAGTTGGATGCACCACAATGCAGTTATGATCATCTTCCTCTCACAAATTTTTTCTTGTCCGGTGATATCTCCCAACTGCAAGTCCTCTCCTTGATTGATATGGTCATAAATCCAAGATGGGAAATATATTTGGCTCGAGTGCTCTGCGTGTGCATTCACATTTTTCCTTTTCCCCACCATTTCCATCAACAGCATACCAAAGCTATAAACATCGGCCTTATATGAAACGCCTCCAATGTTCTTATAAAACAACTCCGGAGCAATATATCCAAGTGTTCCCCTTGCTGCAGTGAGAGACGATACTGTCATCCGTGGGGTACAATTTTGCAAGGCCAAAGTCTGAAAGTTTTGGGACAAAGCCTTGGTCGAGAAGAATATTGTGAGGCTTGATATCAAAATGTAGAATTTGCATGGCACAGCCTCGATGCAAGTACTCAATCCCTCGAGCCACTCCAACCGCAATCTCGTACATTCTCTCCCAACTGATGAATGGTAGAATCTTTTCTCCTCGCGAGAAAATGAACTTATCAAGAGATCCATTAGGCATGAAGTCGTATACGAGGGCTCTTTTAGACCCCTCTGCACAAAATCCAATCATTCGCACCACATTTACATGATGAATCCTTCCGATTGTGGCGACTTCACTAATGAAATCTTGCCCTTTACCTTTTGCCACTACCAATACTTTTACTGCTACAAGATCACCACTTCGGAGCTTGCCTTTGAACACCGAGCCATATCCTCCTTGACCCAACTTATCCCTAAAACTTTTGGTCATTTGCTTTATATCCGAATACGAGTACCTAACTGGCATGAAGTTGTTTTGACTCTGAAGAAAATTTTCAATGGTTTCATCAATAGACAAGTTTCTTCGTCGGAATCTACATGCCAGCAATATAATCAAGCATAACCCCATTGACATCCTTACTATGATGTATATTTCTGAAATAGAGAAACAGAGTATTGGTATTAGTACATTGTTTAATTAATTGACAAAGAACAATATTTGCCTTTAATGTCGAAACGCAAATATTTCAACTCACCTACGGTGTTATTGATCTTTTTTGTATATTCTGATAAAATAAAATAAAAAAAATAAAAAAGGCACAAGATGAAAATGAAGAATAGAGAAAATTAAAATTAATTAAAGAAAAGAATCTGGTGGAATGACTATAACCGTACTTCCATGACTGTATGCAAAGTATAAATATAACCTGCATTCAACCGATCTGAAATTAGTATCATTGTAAGACATAAGAACACAATTTGTTTTGTGTGTGATTGTGTGTACATCCACAGTACATACCTGTCCCAAATTGTTTGTCTGTAAGAACCGGGCGAAAACCGAATCTCAAATCCTCCAAGCAACATCTGATGAACATTAGAAATATTGAGGTTCCGATGGACTTTAATGAACGGGGACGGATACCCAAATTGGATGGTGCAGGAGTCTTGGACTTCCAATGGATCAGCAACATTAAGTACAACATATGATGATGAGTTTGTTTTGGTCTCGGAGCAGGAAGAGAAATCTACGTAGTTTGAAGAATTCACTGGGCTCGGACAACTAACAAAATACATATAATATACATTAGAATTATAATCGTAATAAGATCTGTCAAGGTAAAGGGACGAAAAGAAATTGATAGGAACAGAGCACTGATCCTTGTCTAGATGAGCATCAACCAATCTAATGATTTGATTTTCGTAAGAGATGTGTTGTACATAGAATTTAATTCCATATAAGTAGACAGTGGTGCTATTGTTGTCACAAGAGAGTTGGTGGTGACCGTCACCGCAGCTACGACGATGGCCTTTCAAGTGAAAAGGGTAGCTGATGTTACGAATGTTTCCGCAAGAAGAAGGGGAGCAGTGTTTGTTTTCTGTTTCTTGGGCACTATAAGATTCGCCAAATAGAGCAACTACAAGAACCATAATCCCCACTATACTACTAGTTCTTACTAATGCTCTTGATATCATATATAAATTCATGCTTGTGGGCATTTGCGCATGGATGTGAGAGAGAGATTTCACAGAGAGAGGTAGAAGCATAAACATGAATTTATTATTATTATTGCGCATATGATCCAGCTTCTAGTGAAATAAGTCAACTGATGTCAAGCACTAAAGCATAAGAAGATAAGTTGGTCAAGAGTGGCGGACAGTTTGGTAGAGCTGAGGGAATGGAGATTAGGTGCAGGGAGTTGGAAATTCAAACAAGGGTGCACTAAAAGTCGCATGGGTAATGAGAATGGGGTCCACCATTTAGGGGGTGAACGTGAATCCTGTGAAGTTACTTGATGTGCTCCAAATGAAATAAATGATAAGTATTGGGAATAGTTTTCGGACACTTGAGCCGACCCGGCCTACATCACTCGAACAATAAAAATGTAGTAAAACAAATGGAAAAAAAGGAAAAAGAAACCTCAATCCTTACATTTTATTTATAAAATAACAATATGTAAGCGTACTAAAAAATTTTTAGAAAAAAAATTTGGGGGGTGCCGTGGCCCCTCTAGCCCCCCCCCCTGCCCTCCAATAAAATAATCTATAAACATTTAAAAATATAATTTTAATATTAAATAGATCAACTAACCACTCAAAGGTTAATAATGTTATTGAGAGTATCTTTGTTTACTTCATTAAATCTTAGGAATGTCATTGTTAAAAAATGAGTCAGATTGTATCTGCCAATAATAAATCCAAACCCAAAAAAATTAGACCGATTTGTTAGGCAAAATCTACATGACACAAAAATATAAATTAATATGGCAATCATATGGTCCCACTAGTATATCCATTAAAACAATATGAATTTTCAAAGACAAAATTACCCTTATATTGCCTTCTCGTATTCATCCTACCTCCTTTTTGAAGATGATCCTTGTTTCAAAAACAACTTTATTTTAAAAACCCTTAAATTTGTTTTTTTTTTTTTTTTTTTTTTTTTAAACTTTATCAAAACACTATCTCTCTAGATGGATGAGCAATTCAATCCCCATAACTTTGTTTTTAAAATTTTATCAAAACACTCTCCCTCTCCTTTTTATATATAAAGAGAGAAAGAGAGATAAATAGATGTATAAGCATATGCAAATTTTGCAAAACATAAAAAAAAAACAATAAAATTAAAATTTTAAACACCAAGGGCTATATACATAATATGTATTTTACTATATATATGGAAGAAATTTTAGAAAATGCCCTCCCTAAAATTTTAAATTTCTAAAAATATATGATAAATTTCTCTTGTATTTTTTAAATTCTTTTGATTCCTTATTAAAAAAAATGTTAAATCCTAATTTTGTTTTCCTTTCTTTGTTCTTTTATTTTTTCTTTATTCTTCTTAATTTTTTTTTTTTTTTTTTGAAAGGTACACTTCTATATTTTGGATTCATGTCTTGTTGCATTGTTAGTTCAAATACCTTTATTTTGAAATTGATTTATACTTTTTATTAAGATTGTGGTGCATTGTTAAAGCCACTAAGGCTAATTAAATTAATGAAAAGCATTTATGGGGCAGTTGAATATATTTTTTTTTTCTTCTTTTTAAATAAAGTACACTACACCCCTTGAAATTCTGGCTCTGCCTTGATCAACACTCTTCTGCATGAAACCAATAACAGAATGAATTGGCTCGTTAATTGAAAACCCTCCTCACCAAAATTCTATAAAGTGATATATTTGTGTATTGGGGAATCAATAATGGCAATGGAAAAAAGGGTGAAAGAAGAAAATAAATAATGATTTGACTATGGGATAGAGAAGTATAATGAGATTCTGTAAAGATAGTTTTGTCTTTAAAATTTTATCCTTCTAAGTGTAG